TTTTTTTTTTCGCGAAACACATATAGCATGTAGATAGATATATATATATATATTCTACCAGAGTAGTTTCGATTTGATCAACTTCTGTAAACTATAACATTACCTATTGAAAATCAAAACATGAATTCTATGACTGTATAACATTTACTCGAAAAATCAAACCTTACAAAAACAAAAATACGGGAAAAAATCAAAAGAATTACAAATATATATATAGAGTCACCGATATTATTATATCCATACGGGGAATACGCCAAGAGCCCCACTGACATAGAGGTTGTTATACTGATTCACTTTCTTAAGGACTTGAATGGCGTCATCCGGTGTTTGTGTAGGTGAAGATGTTTCGAGTTTGAGATTGATTATCTGAGTACAGCAGAAGGGGCATATGCACGGCCCAAACGAGGATTTCAACATCCAAAACTGCAAGATGCAGCTTGCTGCAAAATATTCGAATAAAGAAATGATTAATGAGTTGGTCTAAATACTGGTGCTAAAACTCAGAGAAAACTGAAAATAATCCCAAAAAAGAAAAAAAAAAGTGTAAAACAAAGGAAATCATTTGGAAGAAGAAGATAAAACACATCATTTATCAATATACAATTTCTAATCTAAAACACAACAAAGATAATCAAACGTAACGGAGAGAATGCCAAGGAAGAAAATCGTTGCATTATTTTGGGGACTTCAAATATGATAGCCAATACACTGTAAAATCAAACAAGATATCAAGATTCATCAGTTACCAACAGAAATAATCGAACGGCCACAAAAAAAATAAAAAAAAAAACAATAAAAAGAAGGAAAATAATTAGAAAAAAAAAAAATAACAGAGAACCACCAAAAAAATCATGTTATGACCTTATTGAAGCCAAACCCTCCCAAGCATAGAAACAAGAAACAGAGCAAAATCAGTTCTTGAAATCAGGAAAGAAAATGCAAAAAAAAAGCACTTACCGCAAAACCAGTGACCACAATTCGATCTGCAGGGGACGAAGAACCTATCGAAACAGATCGACAAACGTCGTCGGCCGGTGGTGATTCTCTGTTGTAAACCCAAAGTTCACTAATTTCACAAGCGCCCACGAAATTTACTCCTTTCTGACATTCGCCACCCACCAAGCCTTCATCTTTTTAAGAATAATTTCCATTTCCCTTGTCAATCTCCATTCCCGGCCTCAACCCACTTGGACCCAAACCGCCATCTTCATTTTTTTTTTCAAGAGAGAAGAGAGAGAGAAAGAATTTCAAGAGTTAGAAATGATTTTTGTTTTAGGGTTTTTGACTTCTCAAATGACAAAGGCATAACGGGATGTTCACAAAAAATATAACGGTGTTAACACCACACATAAATTGGGGAGCGTATGCTGGCCAAAGTACATTACAAGGGGGTTTGACGCATTTTTTAAATTAGAGGGGGATAACGCGCAAATTTAGTATAATACATGTGAGTTTGGTGAAATTTACCCAAAACGGCATATAAATATATCAAAATTCATATAAACACATATCCATGGCACGTAATTAACTCGTATTTCACACGTTCAGCAACTTAGCACGTAATATAACACAATCACAAATCACGACATCAAACGAAATGGGGTTCGAGCTGAGGTACCGTTCTTGGGAATCGTTCGAACGAAAAAATCAAAACGGGGCTGAAACGGCTTCACGAATGCACCGGCAGGGCTCAACGGCTAAGCTTCGGCTCGCCTGAAAGTTTTGCGAGTGATCAGCGGGGGCGGTGCAGCGATGAACGGGTCCCGACCATGATGGACAACAAGGGAAAACGCAGGGCATTATACGAAAAGTGGGAATGGAGTCTCGGGCGCGGGTAACGCACGCGGAACAGCAGCGGGGTGCACAGCGATGGGAGATGGTCGGGCTACGACTCATGAGCTGAGACGGAGGGAGATTGCTGGTTCTCTCGCCGGCGCTGGTGGTCTCACGAACAAGTATCGAGTCGCCGGGAAGATGAGCGATGTTGATGGTCTGCGCGTAGGCAACGATGAAGGTGTTGAACGATGGTGTTGCGATGGCTTAGGGTTTGCGAGAGAGATGATGTGGCGCTGCTCTCAACTGCTGCTCGCGGTGGCAGAAAATCGTCGGAAAGCAATTGCGTACAAGGTATTCTCGACTGTTATTCGCATAGAGGGAAAACTGAGATAATTCTCGATCGAACGAACAGAGGCTCAAGGTTGCTGCTGTTGAAAGGAGCCGGCCGGTGCTGTTCGGAGGAGATGGTCTCACTGTTGATGATGGTGGTCGGATTTTGAGAGGGATGGAGAGCAAATTTTTCCTTTCTCTTATCTGCGATGGTGATGAAGAAGGCGCACTGCGAGAAGGTAAAAGATATTTTTTTTTTAAGTTTTCCTCAAATTTTCGAGTGATACCAAGTAATAGGAGAGGGAGAGAAATTTCTAGTAGAGGAAGGGAAATATATCGAGACGAAAATTGAGAGATTTGAAGGAGGTAAACTTCCTCTAATCACTCCAAAGTTATTCAATGTGATTTACCCCACATTAATAAATATTAATTAGCTAATAAAAGGGGACCGGATGAAAGTTTGGTGAGATTTGCTCCACTACTTGCCAAAACACATTGCCATTTATTTTCTTAAAAAAAAATAAAACATTGTTGAAACCAAAAGGCTAATATAATTTCTAAAGTAAAAATAACCACCACCAGTCAAAGGGGTCGGTTTGAGAGTTAGGAATGGACCGAAATTGAGAGCAATGGGTCGAGAATAGCAGAGCTCAAGGTTCGGTCAGAACGGTTCAAAATGAATAAATAATGGTAGTAATACATAATAATACACACAAATAATATATATAATATATTACTAAGCAATTAATCACTTTAGACATTTAGGTAATTAATATAATAATAATAATAATAATAATAATAATAATAATAATAATAATAATAATAATAATAATAATAATAATAATAAGCATTTAAACGCATAATATCAATTAGGCAATTAGACATTTAATTTAAATAATAACAATAAAATCAATAACTAAATAATCCCAATACTATTCATAAACGAACGGGGCATTACAACATAACACTCACATAGAGTGGGGTCCACTTGATTTTTTATTTTTGGTAGGACCCACTTAGTGTTAGTGTTATGTACACTTCTATGTGCACTATTATGTACCTATAGCATTACTCTACTCAATAATTGTGTTTATGTGCATATGTTTGAGATTGATATACTCAATTGTGTCAAAGTGAATAGTGATTTTCTGTGAAATTAATGTTAATGTGTATTTATGTTGTTAATTAGTATTTATATGTGAAACAATATTAATGTATATTTATGTTGAGATTTGATATTTGTCCTTGTTATTGGGCATAGCATATATTTCATGAGCATGTGCATGCATATGTGATAATTAAATACTATTTCGCATGCACGACATAATAAGAAAATAAAAGAAAATTTTATTATTTGGCCGTTGCTTTTGTACCGAGGTCATGAGCCACTTGAGTCATTGCTTCGGTCGTGTGAGACGGTATGGGCGTAACTTATTATTATTTATTGCTCAGTGTCCCGTGAGACATTGCTTCGGGCGTGTGAGACGGATCGGGCTGAGCCATTCTAGAGCCGCGTGAGACATCGTTTCGGGCATGTGAGACGATTCGGGCTGGAATGTTATGATTACTATGTTATATTGAGCTCTTTTCGGTGCACAGTAGTTAGGTCAAGGGCCCAAGAAAGAAAGTTTTCGAGAATAAAATTATAAAAGCATACGCCTATACACGAGCATTTGCATTTCATGTTGAAATGCATATCAGTTGGTGATGTTATTTTTTGACATGCATGACTTTTACTTATTGAGCCCTACCTCATGTAGTTATGCATTGTAGGTAAATATGTTGACCGTTAATTTCTAGTGGCTGGAGCTGTTGAATCCAAGGGGCTTTTGAGGGCATGTACATAAACGCAGACCTGCTGGGACATCAAGTGGACCTACGCCCTTTGTATAGTCTTGATCCTTTTAACAACGTTGGATATTGTATAAACTGTTATAAATTCTTTTTGGATTCCTTTTAGGAAGATGTAAACGAATATATTTTGGTGTTATAATATAATATTTTGATTATGTAAACAAATAAACCTTGGTTCTTAATACATTATTTTACAAAGAAATGTGAGTCGTATTTCAAGATATAAGAACATTTTAGTAGCAGAAAAGCGGTCGTGACAGAGTGGTACCAGAGACCAAGTTGCAGGTCCTGTAGATTGTTTATGTACATGACTCAAGGTCCATGGAGTACAACAGTGACGGTAAGTTTTTGTTATTATGTGTATTACTTGTCTTATACATGTTATTGGTCATGTAGTATAACTATGACGAGAACTCGAAACGGAGGTAGTGGTGGTACTAATAGAAGAGAAAGTGCATTAACCTCTAACTCTAGGGATAGTCGTGATACTATTATTGAACGACTGACCGAATTAGTAGAACGTCAATCCCAGTAAAATCAACAACTAATTGAACAAAGAGATAAAAATAAACCTCCCGTAAATGCCGGAAACCAATATTACCCCAGGCAAGACAAATGGAGATCGTTGGAGAGAGATTCTAAAAATTGAGCCCGCCAGTATTTGAGGATGCTGCAGACCCAGTAGAGGCTGAAGATTGGCTGAGACCGGTAGAAAACATGTTCCAATTTAGTAGAGTTTCCGAGGAAGAAAAAGTTTTGTGTGCCTCTTTCATGTTACGCGGTAGTGCTGGACATTGGTGGGACACAGTCAAGTGCATCGAAGATGTGCATAACTTGGGGCCGATCGAAAGAACTTTCAGAAGCAAATATTTTACAGCCCCCATACGCGCAATGAAGATGAATGAGTTTATACAATTGAAGCAGGGCAACATGATCATCGCAGACTATATCCACAAGTTCGAGCAACTCTCAAGGTTTGCCGAACATATGGTTAGCACAGACTACTTAAAGACGGAGAGATTTCTTGAGGGCCTGAAACCAGAACTCTATAGAGATGTTTGCATGGCTGGCATTCAGGAATCAAATTACTCACAAGTTGTCGAGCGAGCACTAATTGCTGAACAAGCTGAACAGAAGATAAGAAAAGCACAGGAGATAAGACGTAAGCGTACTAAGCGGATTCGGAATTGTCTTTCATTCGAAGGCATAACTTGGACCCATGCGCTTCAGAGGCAAAGGCCACAATGGACTAGAAATGAGAAGAAAAGGCCAACACAATTTCAAAACCAGAAGCCTATATTTCAACAACAAAGGTAGGAGCAAGCGGGTGCAAGCAAGCGTGTTCGATACCAACAAGAAAAAGTGCCAGCATTGCCTACCACTTGTCTTAAGTGTGGAAAACAACATGGGGGAGAATGTTTAAGTGGAAAAGGAATATGCTTTGCATGTAAACAACTGGGTCATATGGCGAGTATATGCCCCAACCGCCCAATAAGGAATCGGTAGGAAGGAGCACCGGCTGGATTGTTCACCACGACTCGTGAAGATGCTGAGGCGAATCCAGAGGTGGTCACAGGTAACATCTTGATCTCTAGAGTTCCTACTTTTGCATTATTCGATTATGGAGCCACGCATTCATTTGCATCCACTAAGTAGGTAAAGAAGTTAGGTAAAGTACCTGATAAAACCGACATAAGTTACAATGTTGTAATACCATCTGAAGAGACAAAGAAAACTGACCAAATTATACAAGCCTCTAGTGTCTCTATTGAAACGAGAGATCTGTATGTTGATCTGATCATAATAGACATGAATGACTATGACGTAATATTGGGCATGGATTGGCTATCGAAGTACAATGCCACCATTGATTGTCGGAGAAAGATAGTATCATTCCAACCACCTGGTGATGAACCATTCTCTTTTATCGGGGGTAGTGATAAACCATTCTCTTTTATCACGAGATAAAATTTGTAATTGATATACAGCCAGGAATGGCTCCAATTTCCAAATCACCATATAGAATGGCACCTGCTGATATCAGACCGAGTTTCTCACCTTGGGGAGCACCTGTTTTGTTTGTCCGTAAGAAGGATGGCACGTTAAAAAAAATATTGATTACCGAGAGCTTAATAAAGTTACAATTAAGAATAAATATCCTTAACCAAGGATTGATGATCTGTTCGATCAACTCCAAGGTGCGACTATATTTTCGAAGATTGATTTGCGCTCAGGATATTATCAACTTAAGATAAAAGAAGAAGACATCCCTAACACGGCCTTTAGCACGAGGTACGGTCATTACGAATTTTTGGTAATGCCATTTGGCTTAACGAATGCCCCTGCTGCTTTCATGGATTTGATGAACAGGGTTTTTAAGGATTTCTTAGATAAATTTGTAATTGTATTTATCGACGATATCCTTATATACTCTAAAACAAAAGAAGAACATACTGAACATCTAAGAAGAGTTCTCGTGATGCTGAAAGAAAATAAATTATATGCAAAATTTAAGAAGTCTAAGTTCTTGTTGGATCGAGTAGTATTCCTTGGACACGTTATTTCTGGAGAAGGGATCTCAGTTGACCCGAGTAAAGTAGAAGCTGTTGAACAATGGCCCCGACCAACTAATCCTTCGGAGGTACGAAGTTTTCTTGGACTGACAGGGTACTATCAAAGATTTGTGGAAGGATTCTCTAAAATTGCCTCACCTTTGACACAACTGATAAGAAAGAACATAAGTTTTAAGTGGATAGAGGCTTGTGAGCAGAGCTTTCAATAACTCAAAAGGAGATTAACTTCAGCACCGGTGTTATCAATACCTTCAGGTAATGGAGGATTTGTTGTATACAGTGACGCATCAAAGAATGGCTTGGGTTGTGTACTCATGCAAAATGGCAGAGTAATAGCATATGCTTCCAGACAGCTGAAGGGTTATGAAAAGAACTACCTTACACATGATTTGGAGCTTGCCGCAGTTGTCTTTGCGCTTAAAATCTGGAGACATTATTTGTACGGAGAAAGGTGTGAAATTTTCACTGATCACAAGAGTTTGAAATATTTCTTTACACAGAAGGAACTGAACATGAGACAACGAAGATGGTTGGAGCTGGTCAAAGATCATGATTGTGTTATTAACTATCATCCTGGAAAGGCGAACGTCGTAGCAGACGCCTTGAGCAGAAAATCAATACAACAGAATGCAATAACAGTTTTCGCACAACAACAAGAACTACATGATTTACATAAAATGGATATTGATATCATTAAAAAAGAGGATCATTGGAAGTAAAGTTAGCATCTTTAACCCTCCGTCCCTCATTAATTGAAAGAATACAACATTAGAAACTCAACGATGAATATCTGGCAAAAGTAAAGAAAGATCTTGCGGTAGGAATTTCATCCGAGTTTAAACTATCTAAAGATGGTGCACTTAGATTCAAAGGTCGGTTATGTGTACCAAACAATGGGGACATCCATGACGACATTATGAAGGAAGCCCATTCAACACCCTACTCGGTACACTGGATCCACAAAAATGTACAGAGACTTGAAAATGTATTACCGGTGGCCACGGATGAAGAAAGATGTAGCCCAATTTGTCGAACAATGTCTAACTTGCCAACAGATAAAGGCTGAACATTAACGACCAGCGGGGACTTTGCATCCTTTATTCGTACCAGAATAGCAATGGGAACACGTTACCATGGATTTTGCGGTCGGACTGCCCAAGACACTCAAAGGATATGATGCTATCTGGGTTATTGTAGATAAATTGACCAAATTTGCTCACTTCTTGCCTGTATGTACTACATACTCAATGGATCGTTATGCTGAAGTTTATATACATGAGATAGTAAGACTTCATGGTGTTCTAGTATCTATCATCTCAGACAGAGATTCCAGATTCTTATCTTTTTTTTTGGAAGAGTTTACATAAAGCTTTGGGAACAAAATTATCCTTCAGTACGGCGTACCACCCATAGAGTGACGGACAATCTGAACGAACCATTCAGACACTAGAAGATATGCTTAGAGCATATGTATTGGATTTTCAAGGACAATGGAGTAAATTTTTACCATTAGTAGAGTTCTCTTACAATAACAGTTACCAGTCTACTATAGGAATGGCACCTTATGAATCATTATATGGGAGAAAATGTCGATCCCCAATACATTGGGACGAAGTTGGCGAAAGAAAGCTCCTAGGACCCGACATGTATCGAGAGATGACTGAAGATATTTCACAAATCCGGAAGAGGATAAAAACGGCTCAAGATCGCTAGAAAAGCTATGCTGATAAAAGAAGAAGACCATTCGAGTTCTCTGTAAGTTATCAAGTATTTATCAAAGTAACTCCTATGAAAGGCGTGATACGATTCGGGAAGAAAGGAAAGTTGAACCCGAGATACATTGGCCCATTCCCAGTCGCAGAAACAATTGGCGAAGTTGCGTATAGATTGGAACTGCCCAGCTGGATGTCGCAAATACATGATGTTTTTCACGTCTCCGTTCTTAAAAAGTATATACCAAATCC